AGGGGACTGGGTGGCCACTCAAGTGAGTGACAAAGAGTGTGGATTCAGGAAGACTTCCCGGAAGAAGTGGCACATTGTTGACACGTAAAGACTGAGTGGGAGTTCCCAGGCAGACCTCGTGAGGCGGTCCACTCCCTGGATTCCTCTCTCTGGCCATGCATTGCCACTCCTGCCTCCCTCCTCCCCTTCCTCATACAGGGGAGTCTCATCATTCTCCAGCACAGAGGCTCCTATTGTCCTTGCAATAAAACCCCAAATCTTTGTAGGACACATAAAGTCCCCAGGTTGGGGCCAGGTTTGCCACACTTGTCTCCTGGCTGACCTCAGCAGTGCAGCTGCTTCCTGCTGAGAGGCTCTGCTCTTCACTTTCCCTACAACCCTCTTCTGCTTGAGCGTGCCTCCACTCAGATGTCTTTTCTGCCCCTACCTCCTCCCCACTAGCGCCCTGGTACCCACACCCTTTCTGAAATAGCATGCCTTACTTCAGAACCCTCAGCAAACATCTGGAATCCTCTATGTTGTTTTATCTCTTCAATTTGAATGGAAACTTCACATTGGAGCAGAGGTTGTATCTCTCTTGCTTACTGTGCAGTATTCCAGAAGGGTTCCTGGCTCCCCATACGCAGTGTGGGAAGGGAAGGAGGTAAGGAAGAAGGAAACACTTCAGGTCATAGAAGCACAGAGGGAGGGGAGGGAGAAAGTGGCATCTATCTGGGGCTCAGTGTCATTCCCCCTTTGACCCCCAGCATCCCTACACACATGCACATAACACCGTCTCTCAAACCCTTTCTCCTTCACTGTCCCTGAGAAGTGCTGGGGGTGCAGACCTCTAGGATCTTAGTGGGGTGGCCAGAGCAGGAGGGCCAGCTAGACTCACTTGGGCTGCCAGTGCCCTCCAGAGACGAGAGGGAGCCAGCTGGCCAGTTTCAGGGCTCACCATAACTGGGGTTCCCATCTCAGGGCTGAACCCCACTTGCAGTTCCCAGTGGCCAAAGCCTCTTGGGAATTCCCTAGCTAGTGAAAAGGGGTCTTTGAATTGAATTCTAAGGAGGACATGGGCCTGGTTATACAGGTAAGGCACAGTGGACAGAACCGTGGGGAGCTGGGGAGTCGGGCCTGGGCAAGGGGGGCATGTGCAGTCCGTGGGCCCTGCACCCACCAGCCCTCCCGCAGCACCCAGGGGTCTTCCATGTTCATGGCCTCAGCACTCAACTCTGTGTCCCCCAGTCATGAACAGCAGCACCAGGCAGCCTTTAGCTGGGTGAAAGGGGAGGGGATAGACAGGCTCACAGAGGGGCAGAGGCTTGGGATGGACACCTACTTGCTTCTCCTGTGCTAAGAGCTGTGGCGCCAGTGAGGCCAGCCTAATTGCAGCAAGGCGAAACGTTATGTTTGGTTCCCTGGGAAAGTGAGGTATGAGGTGGAGGACTTCTTCCAGAGTGACAGTGGAGCTGGAACCTGAGGAAAAGGTAGGAAAGTTCTGGCAAAGGAAGGGTGGGTGTTTAAGAAGGGCACAGACAGGCCCTCTCTGGTGCAAAGGGATAAAGCACAGCACTATGAAGCTCTCTGCAGCCACTTCAGCACGTGTTCGATCCCCGGCCAGGGAAGTAACTCCCATGGCACAGCAGACCTCTCCTGTCTCACCTGCTGCCCCCTCAGCAGTGTACTTCATCCATCTGCCTGTTCTGCTCCCCGCTCTGGCTCTGGTGAATCCTCTCACCGCCCCCCCATCACCTCTGGCCTGTACCCCAGTTGTGTATGCATCAATAAATCTATAAAAACAAAAAAGTGCATAGACAAAGACCTGGAGGTGGGGAGACAGTTTTGGAGGGATTAATGGGTGTTTCTGCAATGGAAGTCTGGAGAGTCGATGAGAACCCTCTTGATGGGGAAGACTCAGGGATGCCAGCCAAAGACACTTGGCCCATCCTGGAATACCCACAGGAACTGAGCAAACAGGCACGGCGCGATTGCTTAATGATGAGAATGTGTTCTGAGAACGTGATATTGGTGATTTTGTCATTGTGCAAATATCTCAGGGAGTAATTACACAAACCAAGATGGCCTGTCGTACTGCACAGGAGCCCATACGGTATAGCCTGCTGGGACCACATTGCATAGGCCACCGGCATTGACCATCACGCCATCAAACAACGCATGACTGTAGAAGCGCCAGCTTGGTGTCAGCTTTGATAGACAAGCACAGGATCAGGTCACAGAGCAGGAATGCTCATTTTAACAGCTGATGGGATGGGAGAGGCCTAAGGCTCAGACTGTGCTTCGTCCATTGTGAGGGACTGGCAGGCTGCAGGTGCTGACCACAGTGTGGAGGTCACATGGCCTGGAGGGCCAAAGGCAGAGGAAGCCAACTTTGACTGTGAAGGAAACTTCGAGTAGCCCCAACGGGCTATGTGGGGCTAAATTTGCTCCCACTCATGGCCTTAGAGTGTCCTTGCTAGAGGGCAGAGCTGCAACGTGCAGGGTGCCCTCTGGGGCCACGCGATAAAGCCCCCCGCCCCCAGGATGGGGGGCGAGGCCGCCAGCCTGGCGTGACGGAGGCCCCGGAGAAGTGAGCTATGTCCCTTATTGGTCACAGTACATTTATTTTTCATTAGCAGTTAAATGCAGACATGAGGGATTGTGCTGGGTTCAACGGGCAGCTGACGTGAGCAGGCTTGGTGCAGTGATCGATGGGGAGGGTGGGGGCCCACTCGTGCCTACTGTCCACCCCATGTCCCCAGCCCAGGCCTCTGCCCACCAGTCCCAAGCCATAGGCAGGCACAGGCCACAGCTTGGCCCCGGGGCTCCATGCCTCTTAAGCCTGTGATGTCTACCTGTCACCTCTCAGCCCCTGCAAGCTGCTCAAGGTTGGAGCAGCCTGGCATGTGTGAGCTGCTGGAGCAACCAGCTTGCTGCTCCAGGCCAGCCACTGGACCCCGCCCTCCCATTCATACTCCAGGCTTTGGGAGACCTGGGTCAGGCTCATTGCTGCTCAAGCTGAGCTGGATGCCTGGGTCCGGGGCTGGCAAGCAGCAGCTGAGTGGCTAGGAGAGACATAATAGCAAAAAGGGAGTCCAGGATGAGAACCAGAGGGTCTAGAGGAAGTCACCTGCCCCTGCACCTAAAATTCCCCATCTGTAAGATGTCTTCATGGTTCTGTCCCAATACCTGCACCCCTACCTGCCTCAACCTAAGGGAGACCCGAGGGTGCTGGCTGAGCCCTGTTGGCTCGGGATAGGGCAGGGCTGGGCAAGGTGAGCTTTCTCTGCTGGTCCCCAGACACCCTGACCTTCACCCCAGAGCTGCAGGAAAGCACTGCTGAAGAGCCATTCCAAGAGGGAGAAGGACAAACTGCAGGGAAGCCAGGGAGGTGGAGGGGTGCATGGAAGGCGAGGCTGACACCCCCAGCGCCTCTGTTGCTGCCAGCCCTGCCTTGGTGTGTCGGAAATGCCCCCATCTCCCGACATTCTTCCCACAGGGAGTAAGACGCCTCCCCACCCCAGGGCAAGGCACCTGCCAGCTCCGTGCCTCAGTTTCCTCTCTAGCCCCCACCCTGAAGAGACTGCTGTGAGGGTTACTGAGGCAAGGGAGATGAGTCTCTTGGCATTAGAGATAGCCGCCACAAAAATACCTTTTCATTTCATCTTCACATCAGCCCTAAGAACTGAGTTCCATCTCCCCATTTTGCAGGCAAGAAAACAGGCTCGAAGTGGGGGTGTCTTGCCTGCGGTCACACAGCTTCTTTACATCTCTTTGCCCAACTCACCTGCCGTGAGCTGCCCTGAGCTGGCCCAAGATGCCTGCAGGACCAGACGCTGATCCCTTTCTCGAGCAGTCTGGGAGAGAGTCCCTGTGGGATAGAACAGGAGGGCGGCATGACGCCCCTTGGGGAGAGGGGGCATCAGTCTAGAACAGGCTTCCTGGTTTGAAGTCCTGGGCAATGTCCTTGGGGAAAACAGAGGAGTTGGGAGACTCCATGCCGAGCCCCAGGAGACTGCTCCATGGGGCAGCGGGGCCCCAGGGCGCAAGACAGGAGTGTGGCTGGCTCAAGGTGACCACTCACGGGGAGCAGCATAGGTCTCTGAAGCCCCCGTTTTTCCCTCTTTATGCCCAGAGGCCCCTGCTGACTGTAAGTGTAGGTTGGTGTGGAAATCACAGTGGCCCTAGAGGGGAACCTTTTTAGTGGGAGAGGCTGAGGGTGCACCCCTCCACAATCCCCGAGGCTTCTCAGGGGTCCTGCTGCTGGAGCAGACGGTCAGACTGCTGTGGGGTTTACCTTCACCAAAGCCTCAGAGCCAATTACCTGTGTAATTAGCAACAAATGACTTGTGGGATGCTTGTGATTTTCAGTTAAAATTAGAAGGAAACCCATATTCAGTTCTCCTTGAAGGGTGGGACATGGCCCAGACACCTCAGGCTCTGAGGTCCACTCTCCTGGCCCACCCAGCCCGGGTTTGCTTGCCCCTGCTCCTCCCTGGGGCCTCTCTCCTATAGGACAGTCACCAGCACCCCAGGGAACCCTCCATAGCTGCACCCTGGCCCTGCCTGCTCCTCTCCTTCATCTACTCAGTGTGTCCTGACCACCTGCTCTGCACAGGGACCAGACGTGAGGGTTTGCTCAGAAGCTGCCCCAGGGGCAGTGCGGGCGCCAGAGCAAGGTACCCCTGCCCCACCCTGCTGCGCCCACCCTGCCCTCAGCTGGTCACCTGCCTTGCTAGTGTCCCCCCTCCCTCCAGCTTTCCCTTGGGCCTCCCTGGGCTGCCGGCTGCAGGCTCGCCAGATCCCCATTCTGCTACCAGAATACTAATGAGCCTGACTGCTGCCTCATGGGAAGAGCCCCCTATATTCTGGGCTCCCACCCTTCTCACTTTACCCCCCAACACACAGTCTGCAGAGGCTGGTGGCCCCCAGTTGCCAGAGGGGTGTGGGGTGCCCCACCGCCTGCACCCATCACCTTGACGTAAGGGCCACGCTCACTGTTCCCTTCTGCCCTGCTGCAGGTGCTCAGCAGAGTGCCACGGTGGCCAACCCGGTGCCTGGCTCCAACCCAGACCTGCTGCCCCATTTCCTGGTGGAGCCCGAGGATGTGTACATCGTCAAGAACAAGCCAGTGCTGCTGGTGTGCAAGGCCACGCCTGCCACGCAGATCTTCTTCAAGTGCAATGGCGAGTGGGTGCGCCAGGTGGACCACGTGATCGAGCGCAGCACGGACGGAAGCAGCGGTGAGGCCAGGCTGGGGGCAGGCAGGGCAGTCTTGGGGGAGAGGGGCAGGCTCCCACCTTGGAATGAGTCCCTGTGCGCGCAGCAGAGAAGGGGCAGCACGGATGCCCCCTCGGGACACCCCTCGGGGCGGGCCAGGACCAAGGAGCCTGCCTCCTTTGGAGTCCTCAGTGAGTTTGGAGCTGCCCCTGGTCGGGGTGGGGGGGGCTCTTAGCCTCAGAGGACACGGACACGGAAGCCCGCAGAGGGCTCTGCAAGTGGCCCAGCTCATGCCTGGCCATTGCCCCGGAACCCCTCCCTCCTGCCTGGGCTGGGTACCGCAGGTTCCACTCCTCAGCGCCTCTGGGTCTGCCCTGTCCCCCCCACTGGCCCCATCACTTGGTCACTTGAAATCCAAGGCCAGGAAGGCACCGGCTCTGTGCCCTCTACCGCAGGCCCCCAGCAGAGGCAGGATCCACACCTAAGACCCCCTTGGTATCTGCACCTCACATTTTGTGATTTCTTTGTGTGCCAGTTTGTTCTTTCATTCAGTCACGCACTCCCTGAGCACCTCCTCCCATGCTGGGGACACAATCCCACCAGAGGGCTTGACTGAGTCCTGGGGGGTGAGGCAGTGAGAGGAAAGCAGGACAGAGTCTCCTCAGGGGAGCTGACGTATGAACTGAGGAGCATAAGAACTGGTCAGGGAGAAAAGAATGAAGGGGTGTCCCAGGCAAGGGACAGGGAACTAGGAAAGTCCTCGGGAGAGACGGCGGGGAGGGCGCAGGATGTGTGCAGAGGTGGTGGTGGCATCCCGCAACCTCCCCATGGACTCTGAAGTGAGGTCACCTCCCCGTGGGATTCCAAATGGCCAAGTGATGTGGCCAGTGTGGGGGACAGGCTAGACCCAGAGACGCTGAGGAGTGGGACTTAGCACCGGCGGGGGAGGGGTTCTGCGGCGTGGGCCTCGCATAAGACGCCCCACTCCCCTCCTTAGATGGCAGGCGGGCAGTGGGCCTATGGCCAGAGAGCCTTGTTTGCACTCCAGTGCTCCCTAAGAGCAGGCCCAGCAAAGCTGACAACAGACCTCTCCTTGTCCCCCGACTGACCAAAACCCAGTTCAACTTATTTCTTCTCCCTTCTCTTTGATGCTTTGGGGAACCCCATACACACATGAGGAGCCCTCAGGTTCGGCCCTGAGCCTCTTCTCACAGGCATCAGTGAGCCCGAGACACACTCCCCGGTGGGCTCCAGCTGCCACCAGGAAGCCTCAGCCTCAATGCAGCCAGGACGGAGGATGGGGCCAGGAGCACTCAGGCTGATGGCAGGGCCACAGGGGAGCGTGGGGTGCCCGTCCCTCCCGGCAGAGGGGCTGGGTGTCCCAGGAAGGGCTTCTGGAGGAGGCATTCGAGCGCAATTTTTAAACCCCTTAGAATCAGCACTTGTCACGCCAAAGGGCCGCAAGTCACAGGTGCAGACACAAGAACAGCAGCTGCTGCCAGGGGCCTGGGCTTGGGGAGGGGAAGAAGGGGCGGTGGGGGCCGTGGGGGGCTGCAGTCAGATTGCACGTGGGGTGTTGGGGCGGGGCAGAGGCAGACTGGAGGGGACAAGGTAGGAGAAGATAGAATAGCCTAGGAGCCAGCCACAGGTGAGCCCTGAGTTTAGGCAGCTTGGCCTATGGGGGGGGTATGGGGGCTCTGCTCTGACTCCTGTGGAGGGGGGCGGGGTATGGAGGGCTCTGTCTTGCCCCCCAGGCTCAGCAGAGGC